AGGTTTTTTTTTTTTTCCTCCTCCTCAAATTTCAAAAGAGGGAAGTGACCATAAAGGAACTACCTTTATCCTCTAGCTTAGTTATATTTTTTTAATACAACGATTTATATTGAATTATTATAATTCATAGAACAGCTGATTAGTTTTTAATCGGTAAACTGTCCCAACCCTACCTTTTCTGCTGGCTATTTTGGCACGTTCCCACTGAATGGAGGAATACAGGCGAGCATGTCCCAAAGTTCAAAAGTTCAGAAAGGACATTCCCACAATGGATTGTAACTTGTCTTAATTGGATGCTTTGGTGCGTGTAGGAGCTCCGGTATTGATCGGGGGCAGTATATGGGTTATGTATGTTTGGAAAAAACCTTGCTTCTGGCTGAAATATCCACTCTTCCCTTTGGGATTGTGCAATAAAAAATGACACTTATGTCTAAGAACTGCTTGTAGCTTGACTTGTCACCAAATAATGATTGTACTAAAACCAACAAAACTGAAGTGGGGTCTAACCTTTGCTGTGATGTGTGCTAATACATACAAATCCATCTACACCCTCAGGCCTTTCCTTGCACCTTCCACATTAGAATTTTAAAACGCAGATCATTACAAACTCTATTTTCATACTGTCCAAGCATATGCTCTGCAAAAACCAGCACTATTTCAGGAAGGAGTGAGAGAAGGGGAAGGGATTCGTTTCTAAACCCCTTCACCCCACACAATCCACAAGTGAGGATTGTTTGTAGGGGTTGCAGTTTTGTTCTTAACTTACAGTGCTAGCAGAATCGAGTCCCATGGTTATCTTTTTAGCTACAAGAGGCATTTGAAATGAATGCCTACTCATGTTTAATGTTCGCTTACAATGCACACAATTCCTTCAGCGTACATGATGGCATGATAATGACAACAAGAGTGTTATCCAGCAGAATCAAAAGAAAACCAGACCGAGAAAGGTCAGCATTCAGATAATCGGACAAAGTTTTCTACTTTTTGTACACGCACACAAAAATAGTCCTTGATTCACCAAAGTAAAGAACTTTCAGTACTGACAGATACTTCAAAGCCATCTCCACATTTACAACATGTTGCTTATTCCAAGGCATCTAACGTGTCTAGGCTTTGGTGATGTATCCTTCTCGAATCAGGAAGTCATAGATTTTCCTGGTTTTGTTGACATCGATCTTGATGAGTGCTCTAGCCTGGGCTAGTCTCAAGCCTCCTTGCTTGTTACACTCATTCACTAAAGCAGCTTTATATTCTAAATAGGCTCCAGGGACCAATCTCACCATCTGACAGAGCTGGAAGACACAGGTAAAGTTAATAAACGTTAACATCTGTCATGCTCGTTTTGCAATACCAGTTGTGTAGGGAGGGTGAGGGAATGGCAACCAAAACACAATTAATTCCTACCCCCTCCCCCTGGCAGATAAAAAAAATGGCTGTTACCAGTGAGTCCAACCCACAAGCAATAAGAGGAAGCATTTGTTTTGAGGAGTGCTCTCCTATTGATGGCTGCTTTAGAAAGTGGTTTTGACTGCCAATTTGTTAGGGAGATCAGAGCAAGAACCTCGTCTCTCAGATATGGGGGTTAATATCCGGCGTGGGTGGTGTTCTGTGCAGACCTAGGGAAGTGCACATGCTCAATCACCAGTTCAGCCCATTGGACAAATGCCAGAAAAGGCATCTGTCTATTAATCCCCTGCAGACAAAGGCTTTGTTTTAAATACTCTTTTATAAAAGCAGCTATACACATAGCACTTTCCCTCTCACGCAGTTTAGGACACAAAGGTGATGCAGAGCAACATTATGCATTTAATAAGAGAGCTTATTAAGGGGACAATCTCTAGTCTTTTCTGCAGGCTGAAAATATTGCTTCCAAAAAGCTCTCAGGTCCTGTTGTTAGACAAGAAAGGTCCCATGTGGCTTTCTATTTGGCTCGGTGCTGTAAGGATACTGGTGGAAAGTCTGGCTGCCTCTTTGTTTTTAATAATAAAAGTGCTCCGTGATTGAACCCCATTGATAGAAACCAGCTGAGACACAAGGTCTCAGTCAGAGACCTTCTGTGGCCTCATCAGACAAGGAAAAATCCAACTCCCCATAAGCTAACGTCTGGGCACAATTATTTGTAAGCTGTTTAGAGCCAGAAGTACCATGTCCACTGTTGAAACTGTGATCTGATTTTCATAACTGCTAGAGCCAGTGAAGGTAAAAACAGTTGATTGTTGTGACAGAAAGAAGAAAAACTCTACAATTCTTCTAGGGTACGTCTAGACTGTGAGAATCTATCGGGAAAAGATACGCAAAATGCAGACCACATTTTGTGTATCTTTTTCCGATACTTTTGTCGGAAGAGGCTTTTCTGAAATTTGGCCTGTCTAGTCAGGGCCAAATTTAGGGAAAAACCCTCTTTCGAAAGCCCCCTTCCTGCTCGTGGAATGAGGAAAACGGGGGCTTCCAAAAGAGCACATGTGCTCTTCCACAAAAAAAAAGCAGAAGAGCAAACGCGTTCCCTGGAAGGTGGAGTTTTCTCGGGATATGTCTAGCCGTACCCCTAGTGTACATCAAATGTACTGACACTTGCTTCTTGGTAGAATATGGCGAGATAAAGACCTTGTTTCTGGTTCCTCCACGTTAAGTCCACCATCTTGTAGTTCAAGGATTAGTGGAAGAGACTCCCTTTGAACTTTCTAGTGCTGCTTTTAATTAGCCGTATCAGCCCATCTCTCATATGGGAAATGGGAGATGAACTGAAGCATTCCATATGTTAGCGCAGAACTCTATTACCAGGCTAACAAACGGTCTCATAAAGAAGGAAAATTCTGCTCTCTGAAATGCGTAGCTCGCACATCCAAGGGCAGAAATTTGGCCAATAGATCATCAGTGTTATAGCTCAACTTCAGGAAGTTTGGCCTACAATCAGGTCTACACTAGGGGCGAAAGTCAAACTAAGAGATGCAACTCCAGTGATGTAAATAGCGTAGTTGGAGTCGACATACCTTAGTTCGACTTACCACAGGCGTTCCCAGTGAGGGGCATTGACCAAGCCAATGGAGTACTGCAGTGGACAGGAGTATGCTCAGCGGTCAATTTAGCGGGTTTTTACTAGACCCACTAAATTGACCCCCCCCTCTCCGCCCCCCAGGAGATCGATGGCCACAGCATCGATCTCCCAGTAAGTGGAGACAAGGCCTAAGAGGGTTGACTGAGATTTGGTCCTTTGTCCTGAGCTGCTTAAAACAAAAACAATTAGGAGTAAGGTATGGTTCCTGTTGGGCCCTCAAAGGAGTTCTTAGCCAATTTTAAAACAGGCATTTATTAAGAAAAAGTTGCTTTCTTCCTTGATCATAAAACCAGAGTGGAGCAGAAAATGTCACATTCTGCACATTAAATGTAACAAATCCCCCAAGCCTCTTGCATTACACTGAACCCATTTGCTGTATCTATAGCCTAAGTTGTGGCAACCAATATTAGGCAGCTCACAAAGGATCTCTAGGTTAGGCAGCTCAACTTGACTGAGTCTGAAAAGAAATAGCTATGTGGTAATGCTTTGTCTTCCCATTCATTTCCACTCCTCTCCTTACCTCTTTCTCCTTCTCATTTAGTTTCTCTGTGCCTGGGAGACCCGTGAGGTTCAGTGGGGGGGCACTCCGTCTACCTATGGAAATAAGGAAAGCAATGTTTATAGCCTAGGATGCTAGCTTGGAGGCTGCAGTTTCTCCAGGTGTTTTGTCTCAAAAGGCAAGTGTCATTGTTAACCCAGTAAAGTCCAAGCATTTGTGGTCAGTTATTTAGGGTTCATCTTCAAAGCTGCACCAGTTTAACTAAAGGCATGGGATTTTGAATAGATTTAGTTAAAATGCCTTTGTGAACACTTAACTTGGTTTAAGAGTAATGTTTTAAAGATAGGATTTGCAAGGGATCCGCTTAAGCTAAAATGACCTTAAACAAGTTTAAGTAGAATAAACAGGATTTTACACTAGTTTAACTAAACATTCTTAGCTAAATCCGAGCAATGGTGTGTGTAGGCCGGCCTTAATGTGTGCCGGGCAGTTCTACAGTTTACAGCATGTGTGAACAGGAATGTTATAGGAAACTGCCCAAATTGTTACTTTTTTACTGCTAAGTTTAATGGCCTGTTTTTCCTGCCTAATAGTGCAAGAGACCTAAAGCGTAACTGCAAATGAAAGCCCATTGAAAACAAAGCGGCCAAATGGAAGTTCCAAAAAAGAAGCTGAAATGCTAAGCAAAAGCATAGTCTCTTCCACTGCTTTCAGTGTTGATCTCGGGGCATGAGACAAGCAAGGTGGGTGAGGTATTTCTGTTGCTGAAAGAGGCAACAAACTTCAGGTCAGTTTCTGCAGTTATATATTGGGAGGGGGCAGCAGAAAGATTTTCAAAGACTTTTGATGCCTAAAGAAGCATACAAGTGCCAAGTGAATTTTTGAAAATGCTTGGGGGGGGGGGGATTTCAACTCTCTCTGAAACCATCAATAGGTGTAGCTGAAGCAAAAAACTGGACTATGTAGCACTTTAAAGACTAACAAGATGTCTTATTAGGTGATGAGCTTTCGTGGGCCAGACCCACTTCCTTAGAACAAACAGAGGAAGAAAATTGGTACAACCATATATACCAAAGGATACAATCAAAAAAATGAACACATATGAAAAGTACAAATCAAATTTCAGAACAGAAGGGGGGGAGGTAAATGTCTGTGAGCTAATGATATTAGAGGTGATAATTGGGGAAGCGATCTTTGTAATGGGTAAGATAATTAATGTCTTTGTTTAGACGTAGGTGAAAATTCAACACCTTTTTTGATGTCGACAGGAGAGCTCTCTCCCATTGGCATAATGTGGTTATATAGTAGAGCAGGGGAGGGCAGTACCATGGGGCAGTTTGCCAGAATATCACTGCCGCAATATTTACCTGCCCAGCTGCAAGTATCAGTGATCACAGCTCCTGTCAGCCATGGATCATTGTTCCTGGCCAATGGGAGCGGTGGGAAGTGACACGGACCAGGACACCGCTTCCTGTCGCTCCCATTGGCCACGGACCGCTGTTCCCAGCCAACGGGAGCTGCGATTGCTGGTATCTGTAGCCAGGCAGCTAAATATAGCTGTGGGACCTATCAGGAGGTAATTCTGGCACAGTGGATCCAGCCTGCAGGCAGGTATTTGCCCACACCTGAAATAGTCACACTTCAGTTCACTGTGAACGCTACCCACTGATGCCGCTATGTTACCCAGGCATGTGGAAAATCCACACCTTTGAGCGATGCAGTTATACTGACTTAGCCCCAGGTGTAGACAGTGCTTCACTGATGGGTGGGCTTCTCTAGTGACATAACTACTTCACTTTGGGGAGGTGGAGTATCCACACTGACAGGAACTCTCCAGTCGGCATAGGTAGCATCTTCACTAAGCACTTCATTGACTCCTCTGCAGTCCTGTAAGTGTACACAAGCCCTGAATGTTCATGGAGACAAGCCCTTAAGTTATTATTATAGAAAATAATTACCTGAATTTGTAGCAACTGGGATTGTTGGGCTGAGGCCAGAATCACTGTAAAGAAATGAAACTTCAAATTAACTATTCATTGTCTAAGAGCAGCTGCAAAAGTTGGTTCCTACATTATTTCTTCCCATTGTGGAACCATTGGAGAATCCAACTTGTGTAACCCAGGGTATGTCTAGACTAAATCCCTCTGTCGCCAGAGGGATGTAAATTAGACATACTGAAATCGCTAATGAAGCGGGGATTTAAACGTCCCGTGCTTCATTAGAATAAAAATGGCTGCCGCTTTTTGCCAACGTGACACTTTGCCGGCAAAAAGCGGCAGTCTAGACGGGGATCGGTCGACAAAGAAAACCTTTTCTGACCAATCCCTTATGCCTCGTGTAACGAGGTTTACAGGATCGGTCGGAAAAGGCTTTCCTTGTCAACTGATCCCAGTCTAGACTGCCGCTTTTTGCCGGCAAAGTGCCGCATCAGCGTGTCGGCAAAAAGCGGAGGCTATTTTTATTCTAATGAAGCGCGGGATATTTAAATCCCCGCCTCATTAGCAATTTCAGTATGTCTAATTTATATCCCTCTGGCGACAGAAGGATGTAGTCTAGACATACCCCCAGAGAGGAAGGGCACAATTTAACCAGGCATACTTTAACCTGATCCTTAGAGGCCAACAGGACTTCTAGATACTTAGTGAAGACCAAAGATGGAGACCAGTGAAAAAAGGACACTAGATTTCTGTTGATGGAGGCTGAACTGTACCCAGCAGGAGAAAAAGGGAAAATAGAGCTCTTTGTCTATACTGTATTCTTAGTACAGGATGCGAGTTGTACTGGATGCACCTTTCCTTCTTTTGCACTGCAGCTTCTTTCTGTTCACAGCCCCAGTTTAGTTTAGATGGCAGACTGGTAAAGTTGCTGCTACTAAGACCACACTGCAAGAAAGGACATCAAATGTCATCTGTGTGCTCATTAATGCCCTTAAGGGAGAACCCTGGTTTCCTGCAATGGATTTAATAGCAGTTCAGTCTAAAATGAGAGAAATAATGTGGTCAACTTTTCTAAACAAACAAAAAACCCGAATGCAGGCTATGGAACATTTTATGAACCCTGCCTAGTATCTCTGTTTGACACTTAAGCACTATTTCTGTCACTTGGGCTTTTTTCAATTGCTATGAATTAGCGCAGTGGAAGAGAATAGTTTCTAACACATTTGGGAAACACATTTGTTATTGTCAATAGAAATGATTAAACTCTCCAATTAAAGTCGTACATGGAGAAGCCCTCCTCTTACTGTAACCGTACATGTCAGCTTGTCGACTGAGCCACTGCTGGCAGGCACTGCTGTCCTGGATGTACTGGAGGACTTCGGAAAGCATAGTGCGCTTTAGGCGCTCCTCCTCTCGTGTCTTCTTGAGGCGATCGTAAGTTCTCGCACCTAGAGCAAACATGCACCATGTTCTGATTGTCTGTGTTGAACCAGAATTCTCAGCCTACTCTTCCATTACCCCAGTGAACAATTCATTTCCTAGTAATGGGTCAGATCCAGCTACCCTTACTAAAATGAGTCCGAATGATTTCAGTGGGAGAATCTGTGGAGTCAAATACTATTTGGCATGTGAGAGTATCAATATCTGACCCTTTACAGTTGTATTTAATTTCAGGGCAAAAAAAAATAATTTTTTTTTCTATAATCACACTTCCAGGGATGAGTGAGTGTTTTTAATCTGAAATACCATGCTAGCTATTGTGACAGGGTCAGGCCAGGGAGCTGCTGCAGAGACGACCTATTTGAAATCATGGGAAGGTGGGGGGGCAAAGCCCGCCCACATTCTAAAAGCCCCTCCCCAACCTTATGGGAGGGACACTGAACCCATGTTCAACTGAATCCGGGGGACAAAAAATGACAACAGGGTCAAGGAGTGTGGGTCACAGGTTTAAAATAAGGGAGCCGGATGGGGACACCGAGCAGAGAACCCCGGACAGCGCCCACTGTTCCTCAAAGCTGTCGATGGAGCCAGTGGACGCCGCCCAGAGGAACTCTGCCCGGATTCGTGACACGAGGGAGGAGCGGAAATAGGCCCCACAGTCGCAGAGAACCCCCTCGTCTAGCATCCTCCTCCTGCTGTTGTAGATGGCAACTTTCGCCAAGGCCAGGAGGAGGTTGACGAGGAGGTCTCGCGACTTTGTGGGGCCACGGATAGGGTGTGC